TATCTCCTATGTTATGAGTTCCTTCTACTTGGTTGGTGGGAACACAACTATTCCCATCACTATTGGGCTCCCTACTCCTTTTCAGCGTTTCTTTCCTTGGTGCCAGGCAGTTTACTCTTACACATGCACAAATCAATTCTCAACCAAAGACTCATGGGGACCCCTTTGCACATATCCGGAGCTCCCTCCCTTCCCCTCCCATTCCCTCCCCTCTCTCCTCTCCTCTTCTCTCTCTGGGGTAACTGTCTTGTGCTGCCTGTCATCCAATGTCAGAAAATTGTTTCACATATTTTGTCCAGTTTTCAGTTTGCTTGAGGTGTGAGGTAAATCCACGCCTTGTTACTCTATCTTGGCCAGAAATCCTTGGCTATTACCATCTCTGTAAATGCCAGTTTAGGAATAAAACAGTCCTCAGGTACAAGTTGGTTTACAAGGAGTAGCAAATGTACAAGTTTATGTATGTGGTTACAGGGTGTTATTGAATACACAGCACAAATATAGGTCTGCAACATCTTGTTTTTCTTTTTCACTTTTTATAACATTCGGCTTTTGGATTATTGGCGATGGCCCGATCTTTACGTAAAAGCCACAAAATAGGAAGCTTTTATATAATCTAAAATCTGGTTTAAGGTATGATTAAGCCTTTGGTGAGTGACTTGATAAATTAAATTTTTCCCTAAAAGCAGAAAATTTGATTTCTTAAAAAATTTGGTTTTACTCTGAATATTGATACCACATGAAGATTAGATTGCTCTTACATAAATAGATTATGATAATAATTAAATATACATATAAAACTAAAGTATGGGAATCCTCCCCATGCAAGGTTTAATTTTTATTACACAACCACACACTAATATTAAGCAGTATCACATTTTCCAACATTAGATGAATGAACTTGCGGTGTGTGTGGGTATGGGTGTGCACACATGCACTGGAGACATAGAGAAAAAACATTCACACATTATGGGGAGTGCATTAAACTAAATTTATTGTTTAAATAAATATTTTATACTTGTATGTATTTAATCTGCAGACCGAGGATTATAAATCCATAATGGAAAATGAGGAATTTAGACGTAACAAAAAGTACCCTAGGAATTTAATCACTACAGTTTGAGGCATATAAAATATGCTACAATGAGTGAGACAGCTCTACAAAATGTTCATTACATAGAAGTTGTTCAAATGAGAAACACCTCCCATATCCACAAACTGTAGTAGATGTGTCTTATAAAAATTACTCTTAAATCTTACATTTCCCCTTTGAGACATTTATTGTTCCTGGGGAAAACAGTATTTTTTTCTCCCTATTCCTAAATCTGTCTTAGATTAAACTAGAGAACTCTATAAATCAATAATAACCTTTTAGATATCAACCCCTTCATAATTATGCCCTCCAAATCCAGGTAATTGTTTGCATACTTTATACAGAAAAAAATGGGGGAAAAAATATGTTCCATTTGATTTGGGGGGGGGTATAAAGATTTAGATTGTTTTTTGTATTTGTGAAATTTGACTTTATCCTCTTTTATATTACATTTGAAAAATTAATTTATTTCACATGGAGAAACAAATAGATCAGGTGATGTTATAAAGCTCTGGAGGGAAAAAAAACCTGCCTGTTAGAAAGTGATACAGATTTTATCATAATATGGCTTTCATTAAAGATAATACTATACAACCAGTGAGTTTAAAGGAATGTTTTATCTTAGTCAAATCAATCTCTGGGTATCTTTCTGAGGCTTCTCGTACATTTCCCAACTGGAAGTGGATAAACAGCCAAACGGGAGTGATCTCAGATTAAGAGACAACACAGGCATCTTGAAGGCTCTTTACTTGTAGAATGAAATGACAGCAACCAGAGAGGCCTGGGGCTGTTTTCCTAGATGCCTACTCTGGGTGCCAGCCATCTGTGTTCATTTAGATGGTGTGTGTGTGTGTGTGTGTGTGTGTGTGTGTGTGTGTGTGTGTGTGTGTGTGTGTGTGTGTGT